GGGTACACGCTTGGCTTGGTTTGTCTGAAAATTGATGGCTTGCTTCATAATATCACGTACTGATTTCAAATTGCACCTTATCTTATAGAGAACGTGACAAATTGTCTCAAGGGGCTTTTGGTTAAGTACCTCTAACCTCCTCTAAATGAGGACATTACCGCTATCACGCGCTAACTTCTCCGCTCACATCCCTTCTTTTGTCTTCACAGCCCTCCATTTTGATTTCCCATCGTAGCCTTCAACTGTCCTTACTCTCCTAATATGAAGTGTGTACACCCACCAAACATAACTAACTAACTAACTAACCAACGCCACGAATCAGAGTCCTTGTTCTGCCTGTGGGTTGCATTACGAAACTGTCGATATGTAGACTGTGTCATGGCAGGATAATTTATGAACAATGAAAGGAAAGGATTTAGAACAAAAAGGTCGTGGCTTTATCGAGGTACTATCCCGGCATTTGTCTCAAGGGACGGAGGAAAAGCAAGAAACATATGTGGCAAGATAGCCGGTATCCTGGCGGAAATTCAAACCCAGCATTACCGCTACACTAACCTGCTCGGGCACAGTCCTTCTTCGAAACTTAATTGTCCCTGAGACACTCGCGACAATTTTTGGCATTTGGTGACGTCAAGGATTTAACTGACCTTTTCATAATTTTCCGCACCCTAAAAAGTGTAGTTTGGTCTATGCTCATGCGGGTTAGTATAAAATAAGTCTTTTGGGAGAAGTTCCATTGATGTATTTTTCTATTTTGGCGTGTAGACTAGGCAACAACCGCGAAAGAATCAGCTATACAACAACCGTTACTGAGTAACGGCTTCGCACACAAGCATGTTTACACGGTAACAATTGGAAACAACAACAGAGGAACGGTGTTTATTGTGCGGACCATGTCCAGATATTATAAGGAGGACAGTTGGAGACAGTTGCCATCCGGTAAGAACGTAAGCATGGAAGGAAAGAACAGTGTTGGAATCCGTCACCAGGAAACGACTGATGAAGACATAGTAGAGTGAGAAGACTTTCTATGTGTGCTGTGGTTATGGTGATTTGTGAGGTGTGTAGAACAGTGACAGCAGTTACCCTTATCTGTATTTAGGTTCTGTAAGTGTTCAATAAATCCGATTACCAATCCAAACCCCGTCTATTGTGCAAATGAGTGACAGTATATCCATTTTTAGCACTACAAAGAAGATACAAGATGAAATTCTTGAGCGAAAACCCGCTGCTGTTTTGTACTATAGAAAGTATTTCGTTATTTAGCGCTTTGTGTCACAGCTGTTTCTATATATACCGCCTGCTTCAACATTAAAAATACCTTGCATTCTGCCCACACACCGAATTCAAAAGTTTATGATTCTCAGAATAAACAACGATTTATTCTTTAAACTGTATTGATCAGTTGGTCTCTAGTGTAGTCGCGGTGTGTTTCCTGTGAGGTACGAGCTGACTATTTAAGTGTTAAGAAGATTGAATTTTACACATTTACGACTATCAAAACGCGGTGTGACGTGATGAAGATACGACATTAATACAAACAACTAAATGATATTATTCTCATCTTTTGATTGGCAAGCCGAGGAAGCTATTCATGTTTGACCCAGTACTGACGCCTCATGACAGATGTACTGACAACTGCAGCTGGACTTCAAACAACTCCTGTTTTCTCTCCACCTGCTTCAAAGGGCTAATAAGGTTAGAATTTTTGTACAGCAGTAAAGAAAGAAGGTGTCTGTATAAATTTATTACCCGACGATGACCAGATAGAGCCGAAACATGATGTAGTAATGTAGCTACAAACACTGTTGTGGTGAGTGAGCATAGTGATAGGTTAATAAGGTTACTTTTTGTTTGGTATTGTCGGTTCCGTCTCAGAGGCTGAAACAGCCGATGCTCAAATGTTGCGAAGTATGGGCTGATGACTACAGATGTCGGGGTCGTAGCAACAAATATCCTGTTATTTTCTGCCAATCGGCACGATTTCACATAATTAAAGTGTTGGGCGGCAGGCCGTGTGATAAATGGCTTCTCAAATGGCGGTGTGCAGGAAAGGATAGACAAATTGGTATTTGCGGGACACAAGCGACTCACTTATGTTTAGAGGCTCGCTTCTTGTTATAAAGATTATTAAAGATGAAAGCAGCAGGTTCCTCCGAAACGTTGTTACTTCACGGTGTCACATCTCAGAAGACTGTGATTTTAATATTCACCGCCGTGTGAAAACGAAATCTCATGCATAAAATTACTGTTTTCTTTTTACTTTTTCAATTGTCCGGAAGTCTAGGTAATGGAGGACACGACGTTTCGGAAACTAGATCTGATTCCGTCTTCAGGTCAGAAAGGAAATCTCATGCGTGAAAAGGGGTTGTTAGTCCATAGTTAGCACACGACGTTTTGTTGGAAGTAGTGTTTGTTTGCCATAAATAGTTGAAGTATCACCATAGTATTAATGTAGAGTCTACTCTCTGTCCTTTCCTTGCAAGAAAAAAATGTTCATCAAATTATTATTTTCGCAGTTTTTCCAGTTTTCGTCGCACAGTGACGTAATTCGGGTCATCAGCAACTGCCGTCCTACCCTGTTTTGAACTCCACATTTGACCCTTTGAACCAAAGCGGCTAGTAAGCATGCCAGCTGTCGTATCATTAAAAGTACTCTGCACATTACCAGCTCGTTAATTCTAAATATACACTGTGATTCTAAATTATTGTCGGGGTTTTCGTGGTTTATAATTTTCAAACCGGAAGAACAAAATAAAAATGCTTATGGAATATGAAAGTATAACTCAAAGACTTTCATTGCTTATAGACTATATGCTGCAGAATGCTAAACAGCTTCAACATACGCGCCTTTCCTGGCGCGCAAGATGTCTAACCGATATGAAATTTCTCTCCAAGAGTTCTCCAGCTTTCGAGGCATAACTCTTTCGATTGCAGCAACAATTCTGTGCTTCAGTTCATGCAGGGAGGTCACAGGGGTCTTGTAAACAATATCCTTGACGTGTCCCCAGAGGAAGATATCAAGCAGCATTATATCGGGTGAGCGTGGAGACCACGGAATTGATCCGTCACGTCCAATTCGGCGCCGAGGAAAATTCATGTCAAAAAATTCATATCCATTTCATATTCCGTAAGCAGTTTTATTTTTATTTCAGGTTTGACAATTATAGGCCATGGAAACCCCGATAATAATTTAGAATCATAATGTATTTCAAATGCTAATCTCAATTAAAAGCGACTCTTTCCTTATTTCTCATAAGCGGTTTGGTCTCTGTAATGTAAAGTCAGTGGTTTCCTCTGAGATAAGAATAATATTTCAATATTCAGAAGATATTTGTGCATCCACTAACTACAAACATACACGTATTACTTACTTACTTACTTACTCATGGAGCTGAGCCCTTCTTGAGGAGCCGCCAATTCTGCAGCTACTCAAGAATTTCCCAGCCTTTTATGGAACCCGAAGGTTCATCGCCGTGTTCGCAAGAGCCCTCCGCTGGTCCCTATCCTGAGCCTGATCTATTCAATCCGTACCATCCCATCCTATCTCTCTAAGATCCATTCTAATATTGTTCACCCACCTACGCCTTGGTCTTCCCAGTGGTCTCTTTTCTTCTGGCTTTCCCACCAATACCCTACATGCATTCCTCGTACAAACATACACGTATAGATGTCTAAAACATGAACATTCACCCTAACCAGCCAGTAAGGGAGCTGGGTGTGGAACCTATCGATCAAATCTCGGTTCATACACATAAGAAACCACGGGATATAACTCTGCAACGATAAAGACGATAAGGCATAGAGTACCCATGGTGGAAAGAAGGAGCATAAGGACAAAGAAAAGAAACGAACGCTGGAAAAAGAGAGGAAAACAAATAAATAAACAACATTAAAGAAAGACTTGAAAGGATTCTGACGATGATGTATACTGTACCTCTTTTGGCTAATTTTGGACTTCATCCATCGTCTCGTATGTAAAAGACAAAAGACCACGGCGTTTCAGAGACTGGCCCAGTGATTGAGACTAGCTCTTTCTAACGGGCCCAACTGAGTAGGTTTATCCTTCCCTACCCACCTGAAGACGGAGACAGATCCAGTCCCCGAAACGTCGTGGTCTTTTGTCTTTTACATACCAGACTACGGATGAAGTCCAAAACAAGCCAAAATAGGCACAACATTAAAGAAGATGCGCAGTAGTCTTCTGCGCAAACCTATACTTTTAAGCCTATTAGCATGCGCGCTATGATGGAAGAAGATGACAAAATGACACAAATAAGTAAATACCAATATTCGCATCTCTATACTGGAAAAAGGAAACAGGGAAAGCCGTTCATGTTGGGTCCAGTTTCGACATTTCTTTGCGGTTGTGCTGACAACCGCAGTTAGATTGCTGTCTTTGTTGTGCTTCAGACGCTTAAGACCGTCTGTATATTCTGGTTAGTTATAAATACTAAGGCTAATGAGTCATACACAGGAACTTGGGAAAAAACTGGATTTTCCGGTAACTTGCGTAGAAATTTCAATCCGGAAAGAAGGAGGGAAACATATTCTCTCACGATTTCTAAAAGTAACATTAAGATCTGTTTTGTTATAATACTTCAACATAAATTGTAGTCCATCTTATATTTAATTTATGTAACTTCAATAATTTGGACAGCTCGGATAGCTCAGTCCGCATAGCTACGGGCCATGAGCTGGAAGGCCTTGGTTTGATTCCGGGCAGGGTCAAGATTTTTCTCTACTCCACAGTGTCCAGATCTGCTCTGGGGTTCACCCAACTTCCTATACAGTGGGTAACGTGGACAGCTTCTCTGAGAGTAAAGCGGAAGGGGCGTGAAGCTAACCACTAGCCTCCATCTAGTGCCGAGGTCAAAAACGATTCATTTATATTTTCACTCATTTGTACACCTTCATGGCAGGCTGCTTAATTAATTGAGTACAGGAACAACTACACTTCAATTTTAATCTCAATATACATCTTGAAATTTTAGTAACAATTTCCCTCGCGTAAGTTATTTGCCGTTCAGAAGGTGGGACTGAGAGTAATCGCTGTTATGGAACATCGCTCCCTCTCTGTCTTGCATTGTCACAGATTACGAATGTAGTTCACCTACTGCACGCTAGGACTTTTTATGGATGCGCTTGCAGTGTCATGACATGGCTGATCGGTCCGAAAACTTTGTCACTCGGTTGAACTTAAAAGTTTCATAAACCATGGTTATAATTTAGCATCGTCAAGTTTAATACGTGTATTGTACTGTACAATATATAACCAGGCTCATATTTCGATCAGAGTCTTATCAATAAGGTTTATTTCCAGAGATTCAATCACAGGTAAATTAAATGTTTTCTGAAAGAACATAAACATGCCGGAACCTGAGTGTCATTTGTCAGAGCGAAAGGGTGGGGGAGAAGTGTCTTTCCCTCCACAGTCTGTTATCGTGTGCTCGTGTGTTACGCGCCGTTTGTGTTGTAAAGAATCCATTTTCATCTGCATGGAAAAATAGTTTTCTTCTTTTTTATCTTCGTGGTGTGTCTGTGTCGTTACTTATTACATAGAATATAAGAGTGTTGTAACGAATATATGTAGTGTCATCGATGAAATGCTTTTTGTTTTATTCGATAGTAGAGCAGGTATGGACATGCAATGCCTAATGGCGGTTATAGCTGTTTGTTATTTGTGCAGTGGGGGAAGTGCTGTTGTCTCACGTCCCGCATAATACTGTAAATGTAATTTACAGACATATACATTATCTCAGTAATGTGAATTTATTTAAAAATTTTAAGAAGTCGTTGGTTGAGGCACTATGCTACAAGCCGGAAGGTCGCGGGATCGAATCCCGATCAGGCCGGCGCGAAAGGCTGACATCCTCACCGCTATCTGTAAGCCGATTGTTTAGAAAATGTGGGAGCCTCATCATCTCACAATCCTATGGGCCTCCACGGCCTGTTACAGGGATACCTTTACTTACTTTTTTTTTTTACTTTACAGACTTCATTGTTATGATGAAATGAAGAATATTCGAATGGGACTGAAGGAAGTAACTGTGTTTTTTTGAGAGGATGTTGTAAAGGTGTCACATGGGAGATCGTAAGCAGAGGTAGAAGGGTTATATTAAATTTGATGGTAGGGGACTGTGAATCGTGCCCAATAGTAGCATTTCTTAATGGCATTTAAAATTAAGACTGTTGACAGGCAATTAGATAATTATTTCAGGTGTTAGTGCTAAAGAAGTGATTGCTGGTGTTCGAGTGTTTCGAAATTTAATGCGTTGTGTAATTGCATGGAAAGTGGCGTGTGAAAGTGCAAGACATTACAGATTGTTCAACAGACGTGTAGTGTACAATGGAAAACGGCACAAACAGGAAGCTGATGGAAACAGGCAGGTACAGTCAGAAGTTACAAATATGAATAAACTTGTTGTTTGTTGTGACAGTCACTAGATCTAATTCTTGAATATAGAATATTGCGTATGTAGAAATACCTGGACATATAATTGGAAAATATGGCAAAATATAATCCTGTTTAAAGAACATTGGATGGGTGACATCGAGTATACAGGTATAAGTTTACAGATGTTTGGAGGAACATAACTGCCTTCAATTTTAATCTTCGATTCTGAAGTTTCATGCTGAATATTTCTTCGAAATATCTGTGAACTTTCTACAAGACTAAACCACGTTACATCTCAGAAGGCAGAGTACAAACCTTATATATCAGTGATCATAATTAATAATATCGAGATTATAAAAAGTGTTGTTTCATCATTGAGTTGTTTAGTGATTCGCTTCAACTGGGTACTAGATATATCATGTGACGTCAAATTAGAGGATAATTAAGATTAAAATGTTCTGACAATAATATAAAAACTCCGTGGTCTGTAGTCCGCAAGTGAACTATACCGACCGAGTGACCGCCGCTTGTCGACGAAGTTAGTGCCAACTTTAACGGATAGAGGGTGTCGCGTGGTCAGCGCAACGAATCCCCACGGCCGTTAATCTCGGTTTTTAGACCGGAGGCGCTATTTCCTTGAAAAAGCTCGTCAATTATCCTCACGAGGCTGAGTGGCACTACTTCTCAGAAAATCTGGTAGCCGGGAATCGAACCCGGGACCTCTGGATCTGTAGGCAGGAACTCTGACTACTAGACCACCTAACAATAATATATTAATAAAATTATTGCTTCTTTGGACATCATTTGTCATCGTCTTTTAGGTCCGGTGATACGGACTAGCCCAATCGATTGGGCCCAACTCAGTTAGCTTTTACCTGAGAACGGAGACCGAAATAGAGTTCCCGAAACTTTGTTTTTTAAACAAAAGAGAAACGAATAAAGGAGCAGCAGAGAGCTCTCGTATGCGAGGATAACCAACATATAACTGGTTACCTAGTGTTTGTACTTGTCTTTACAGAGTTATATGTCCTGCGATTGGACAGGTCTCGTACATCACAACAACAAGGCGTTCAATGGGGTACAATCTAGCATATCTGTGTAAAACAATTCAACAGTACTTTCTTACATACTTACATACTTACTCATGGAGCTGAGCCCTTCTTGAGGACCCGCCAAATATTGAAGAACTACCCAGTAATTTATGGAATCAGAAGGTTCATTACCATGTTCATAAGAACCCTCCACTGGTCCCTATCTTGAGCCAGCTCAATCAAATTTATAGTATCCCATCCCATCTCTCTAAGATCCATATTAATATTGTTCACACACCTACGCCTTGGTCTTCCCAGTGGTCTCTTTCCTTCTGGCTTTCCCACCAATATCCTGTATGCATTCCTCTGCTCCCCCATTCGTGCTACATGCCCTATACATGTTAACCTTCTTGACTTGTTCGTCCTAATTATACTTTGCGAAGAGTACAAGTTATGGACCTCATCTTTATGCAGTTTTCTCCAGCTCCTGTCAACAATAAAAAAATTAAAATTTTCCCTGTGCTTAACTAGTGAAGCACTATGCTATGAAGACGTATGGGGAAGTGGAGGAATAGCTGTAACATTCTTGACCTCGTCACTAGATGGAGTTGACTGGTCAGATTCACGCCCCTGCCCCCACACCCCCGAGGAAAGAACCACGGTACACATTGTATAGGAGGTTGGGTGTGCCCCAGAGTCGTGCTGGACGCTGTGGATAAGAAAAAAATCTTGCACTACCGGGAATGGAACTCGGGTCCTCCAGCCCATAACCCGTCGCTATGCTGACCGGGTTATGCCGACTCTAATCGACAAATGTGTTGTTTATTATTATTATAATGCCGACGGCAAAGTGCAGGGCGTCCAGATTTAAGGAGCAGGGCCCAAGGCGTCGGGCCTCACCATTCCTTCACTTATGCCCCTGTCTCTGTGTGTGAGTGCCCTTATAACAGTATGACTCACGGTAGCCTGGGAGCTTGCATGCAGAAGCCCAACACCTCTTGTTCTATCCTCTGGAATGTAACGCCGTGTAGTCCGTTCAAAGGCAACCGACGTTTCGAAAGAACATATTTCCACCTTCAGGATCGAAGAATAGGCCAAGCAAGAAACCACCACAAAAGAGGGTGACATGCAGAGATCCCAAATCCTACATACCAAAAGGATGCTTGGTTCGAATCTTCTGCTTAGTAAAATATTACGTATGCTATATAGAACATAGCACGAGTATATATACAAGTAGAATATACAAGCCCAAATAAATTAATACACATAAAGCATTTTAGACGGAAATCAGTAAATAAATATTTGCATATGTGTCAACAAAAGGCTCGGGAAATCAGCCGTTTCATTGTTGAATAAAAACCATCGTTTCGGAGAGCTGTTATTGCTACATTATCAGGTTCGTAGCGAGAACTTTAGTTTCGTTGCAGAGCTTCTGGCTTTCATTCAGGTGGTATTAGGTTCGAATCTCTACCGAGATACCTGAACTCTGGTTATCATAACTGATGTTTATCGTGATTTTTCTCAGTTCATCTGTTAAAACACTGCTATAGTATCTTAATTATTTCACGACCACTTCCTTTGGAAGTCGTTTCCAATTCATTATTCACGAATCATTCTAATTTTCGACGCTATGTGGACTCGCTACTGGCGTGTATCAGGAGGGGTCTGTCAGTCGTGTTGGGCTCCAACGATGATACAATTCGTTGGCGGTAATATATGTATATATATATCGCATCATGCCTCTCTTCATATTTCCATCTGGTGTATATAAAAAGGCAAAAATTAAAGTAGAGTCCTAAATGCTCTAGTTTTTCCTGTTGCTCTGTCTGAATGTGTAACTTGGACTCTCACTTTACGGGAAGACGGTGTTTGAGAGCAGGGTGCTGAGGGGGGACGGGAGCAATAGGAGGCTGGAGAATTATAATTTGTGCCCCACGCAAAATATTATTGTATTGATTTAATAGAGGATAATGAGATGGAAGGGACATGTGACAAAACTGTTACAGAATTGCGTACAAATTTCTGGCACGAAAATGTGAAAAAGTAAACGACGTGTAAACCTATTCTCTTTGTATAGTTTCTAAATAAAGGCTCTACAGTGATATTTATATTTATTCATTTTCATCAGCACTACTCATATGATTATATTTGTTATTTACGTTTGTTCTGAGTTCTTTTTTTGTCGTTTAGGGCTGCCGTATGCTTCACTAATCCGGATTACCCCCCTCCATTAATCCGGATTAACGAGGGTTTACTGTATGTCTGTGCCCTTGGTTCCCCACATTGGCCCTTGTGATAGTAGAAAGTAGAGCATGCCTCCAAAACGTTATATTAGCACGACAGACCGCCCGACAAGTTCTGGGTGATGGCTGGCTTCGCATTTTAGTTGTTCGACTCTTTCGTACCGGTTGTCCTCAGGCACTTTCCTCCAAGAGTGAATAAGAGACAGTCATCTGCTACTCTTGGAAGCATCCTTGTTTTTGCAGACATCATCTGGTGAGTCTTATTGTAAATCCATTAAAAGCGGTCTCTTAAAGTGGCGGAGAACTTGCTCCATAATGTCGCAGCACAGAGGAGAGGCTCCATTCCAACCAACACTTCGATTTAACTTTGCGCGCTGGTCTTCATAAATGCAAGAATGGTATACAGGCGCCTCGCAAGAAGCCACCAGGTCGCTAGATTATCTACCTATCCTAGGTTCACATATTCTTTCCGAATATTTTCGATAATATCAGAGATTAAAATATCATCATTATGATCACTGAGATGGCAGGTCTAGCGGTAACGGACTAGACTTTTATTAGGGTGACTCTCCGTTTGAATCTCGGCGGGTGCGCCAACTAACCTCAGTTTTCTTGTATGGTATTCATCGCTCCCTCCCTCCTGGCAATGCTAGGATAGTACACGGTGCAGAGAATGGCAGTTTCCTTCCACATCTTTTTCTATTCATTATCCACATATCAGGGGGCACGCGGTAGCGTAGTTGGTTCAGGCACTAAGCTACAAGCCGGAAGGTCGCGTTTTTAAGTCCCCATGAGGTCATTGGATTTATTTTCAATTGACCTAATCTTTCCAGCCGCGCTATGGCCCTGGAGCCAACTCAGCCTCTAACAGAAATGAGTACCAGGAATTAATTAAATAATTTTCCTGAGGGTAAAGGGCGGCCGGCGCGTAAGGCTGACAAACTTACTGCCATCTGTGAGCCGATTGTCTAGAGAAAATGTGGGAACCTCGACGTCTCACAACCCTATGGACCTCCACGGTCTGTTACAGGGATAACTTTACTTTTCTTTAATCCACATATCATCCTATCATTCTACGCTACGTAACCTGAACTGCTAGCAGCATCGTTAAATGAATCAAAATCATCATCATCAATATCCTCCTCCTCCTCACCATCACCACCATCATCATCAGGATTGCTTGTTCCCAAACCCATTAAATATATGAAACAATAATTTTAAATTCTGTTCTATGTACTTGTTAATGGCCGGGATAGTTCATCCGGTAAAGCGACAGGCTACGGGCTGGAAGGCCACAGCTCGATTCCCGGCAGAGGCAAGAAATGTTTCTGTTTTTTCACAGCGTTCAGACAGGTTTTGGGGCCCATCCAACGAAATATGTAATATGTGCGAAAGGTTCTTCCCCAGTGAGTGAAGCGGTCGTGGCGTGAAGGTGACTATTCACATATATCTAGATGAAGAATGCGTGGAGTTACATCTCCACAACTCCGCACGTCTTAATTTAGATGTGCTTAATGAGGTACAAAGATTATTTTAGCTTTACATTAACTGTTGAAAGGTGGCCCCAAAGGAGGGCGAGTAGACGGTAATATAAATATGACCGTATAAATGTCACGTGCCCGAAATTTCGACTTTTACAAAAATTGTTATACTTGACTGCATGTGACATCTGCCGTAACGTCACCTGACCAACATAGCCTATACTCATTGCGATGGTAT